GTTTAACATTTTAAAAGATATTACTTGCCAACTAGAATCACAGTTTCCTAACTTAATGTAATATTCTGTTATTTTTAAATGATTAAAGTTAAAATATATTCTTATTTTTTGAAAAGGAAATGAAGAGAAATGCAGATGAAAATAGGAAAAGGAATAAAGGAGATCTTTTTTGTGGATTTTAATATCTATTAGTCACATAACATAAATGAAAACACATAAATTATATGAAATGTTTATAGAAAGTTATTTTTTATTTTTTTAACACTCACAATTTAGAATGTTATTTCATTTACTCAGAAAAGCCTTGAAAAGTAGTATATTACTGTAAAGATCAAAAGTGTAGGAGTTTTTTTCGTTGTTGTTTTTTGTTTTTGTTTTGATTTTTATCTCAATTGCTGAAGAATTGTTTTTTAAATGGATATTGTAAGATCAAATCTGATTCCAAATTGGGAGAAGAACATCATGAATTAGCATTACCATTATGAATTCACAAGTTATGAGTGAGCATGAGACATATTTTTATATATTTTCCTATGTGATATATGTTGGTGATAAAATGTGGGAGAATTCCCACGTGTGGAAACTGTTGGTAGATTTTGTTGCTGCATCTCTGGTCACAATAGTTTTGCCAGGATTATTTTTATTTCACATTTTAAAATACAAATTTTAGAGCTCAACATTTTGTAAGCAATATCTTTCCCCAATATGAGAAAAAACTCCAATTATGTATTTTGGTATATACTTCCTGTAAATAAACTATCTTTAACACTTGAGTATCTATTCTATGGATTAGTAACAATAACCCAAAGAAGCAGATAATAGTGAGAGATCTGATGCTGACAGACTGAAAGAAAACATAAGGTAAAAATAATTCACATTTGTTTATTATAGTGATTTGGTGATGACATGTAAAGAAGATGGCTGAGTGATATGGAAGGGTAGAAATACTACCTCTGGCATTTATATGTATGCATGTATATATATGCATATATGTGTGTTTATATATGTGTTCTACATTCATATATCACATACAATATTATAAATATTATTTATTTACTATTTTTATAAATTAAATTTAGATTAATTCATTTTAAAACTTTATCATAAGCAATCATTATTTTAAATTGTAGGTTAAAGCCAGACACAAACCTATAGTCCTAGCTACTCAGGAGGCTGAGGTAGGAGGATTACTTGTGCCCAGGAGATTGAAGTCAATATAGGCAATGTAGCGAGATTCTCATTTCTAAAATAAATACATAAATAGATATTTTATAAATAAAAAAATTTTCAAAAATTATCTCCAATACCATAAGTAAATTTACAAATACATATTAAATGTCATTTTATTAACTTATTTATGTTGTTGAGAAAAAAAATGTCAAACATAAAATCATTAAAACATGTAACAAAAGTTTACCAACCCTATTAAAGAAGCTTTCAGTTTTCATATATATATATATTTTTTAGAAATTAAAAGAGTTGTTTTAGTTCATAAACTTTAAAATAACTTGAAGGGAAATGTGGAAGATGAGATTACTTAATAATTTAAAACTGGATGATGCAACACAAAGGGAAATATATGTGAGAATATAACCTACTAATCTTTATGAGGTCACATTATCTTAATATTAGTAATTTTCAGTATTAAATTACTCTCTTAATAATGGACTGAGGAAATATGTCCTCATCATTTTTTAAGACCGTCAGAAGCAGGGTATTGGAGTCTGCCCCCTTGGAAGCTACTCAGGATATGCCGACTGAACAAATCATTACATCATTTATCTATTCATTCATATATTGTAGTTATAGCTATAACCCAATTAAATAAAAGATCAGTATTTAAAAAGTGGCAAGTTTGATGAGCTAGTTGCATTTTTCTAAAATTTAAAATATGCACATACCTTTATTTTGAATTAAGGTTTTTCTACATGTTCAAAATTCATACATCTTAAGAATACTTTAGAAAGTTCATTTGTGAACCATCAAAATTATCTCACTTGCCACATGTTGCTCCTACTGTACTTTTCCACTGGCCTAGAGGTTGGTACACGTATGGGAGTGCACATCGACAGTTCCTGCAACAGCTAAGGAAGAAGGTGTACATATTTAACATAATGAGAGGGAGGAGGCTTCTAAGGGAAGGAAAACTAGGTTCCTAGGCGAACAAAGGGGAGATTAAAATAGCTTGTAATCATGTTTATGTAGGTAAGAATAGACTTCCTTGTTTTTTCTTCATTTTCACAAACTTTCTTGGGAGAGGGAATTCATGGCAGCCTCACTCCCACAAGTATCTGCTTGTAGTGCCATAAAAGAAGTTCAGAAAAAACTCCTTTCTCTTTGTTGAATCTCAAATGTCTTTAGTATCAAATAATCTTTATAGTGCCTCTAGGGATCTGAGTGAGTCCCAAAACTTTGAAAATTTAAACATTTTGTGTTTTTTAAACTATAATTTTGTCACAGTCCATCTTACACTGTATCAAAATATCAAAGAATCCTGGAACCACAAAGTTATTACATTCTAGACAAGGTTGTACTTACAAAATTCCACCAATAGAAATTTGTGCTTCCTGAAACTTTACCCTCAAGCATTGCTTTACAACTTTTTTTGAGCAACCAGATTGGGAATGAGTTTAATTGAAATGTACTATTAACCAAGCTTAAGAAGAGGGATTTTTTTTTAAATTGGAAAGCAAATATTAATGTCTGGGAACTGTCACAAAGGAAGACATTTTATGAACAAACTAAAATAAAATACAGGTCTGTTAGTATAATTACTTTTAAAAAGTATTTAACATAAATAAGCAAAATAAGATTAGCCATTTTAAAGTGAACAATTCAATGGCATTTGGTACACTCACAGTATTGTACAACCACCGCCTCTATCCGGTTCCTAAACATTTTAATCACTCCAAAAAGAGCTGGCACCACTCATGCAGTTGCTTCCCATATCCCCTCCCCAGCTCCCTGTAGCCACCAATTTGTTTACTGCTTCCAGATATTGCATATAAATGGATCATATAATATGTGACCTTATATTTTGTCTGGTTTCTTTATTTGAAAATGTGATGTTTTCAAGTCTCATTCATGTTGTTGTATATATCAGGACTTTGTTTCCTTTTATGCTTGAATCATATGCCATTGTATGTACATGCCACGATCTGTTTATCCATTTATTCATTGATAAATACGTGGGATTTGCCAACTTTTGTCTGTTGTGAATAGTGCTACATGAACATGCATGCAAGTATACTTTTCAATGTTGTACAAAATAGAATTCAAAAAGACAGAAAAGCATAATAGTTCTTCAAAATAATAACTGAATACTATGAAAGTAAAAACATTTCCAGATTCTGTCATAATGAATGATGCTACCACCACCACCCTCAACAATGGATGTTCTGGATGGAAATGACTTAGGTCCAATATTATTTTCTTCTGTCCTATGATAAACGTTCTTCAGATAAATAGAAACAATTTGCATTTCTAATACAATTACTACCCATTATTTAAGTGTGTGCTATCCATCGTGATTTCCTTCTAAAGAAATGGAAAGGGAAACAAGAAAGAGTAACGTTATAGTTGAGAAAACTGACTAGATACAGCCTCAGCCAGGTTCAAATTAACAACAGTGATAAGTCATATTAATAATATACTATTGATAAATGTGTCAAAAATAGCACTTGACTTGTGGTTTTCCTACATAAATCATGTAAGTCCAGTTGAATCTTGAGGAAAACACCAGATAAACACCCATTAAGGGACATTCTGCAAAATATCTAGTACTCAAAATTGTTAACGTCATCAAAAACAAAAGTCGGAGAACTTGTCACAGCCAAAATGAGCTTAAGTAACCATTATGACTGAATGTAAACTGGTATCCTGATTGGGATCCTGAAACAGAAAACTGACATTAAGTAAAAACTAGGGAAATCTGAAGACATTTTGGATTTTAATTAGTAACAATGCAACATTGCACTAGACAAAGTTAAATGATAAGGAAGACTGTATTCACAGCTATTGCAATAGAGAAGACCAGAATACAGACTAGATCTGAACTGAACTCTAATAGAAAGAATGGCTAGAGAGAAGTTAAACGTTCCAGTGGACTTGGGTGTAGGGGGATTCACAGATCAGGTGTGTTTACTAATTGACGTTCCCAAAGGAAAATAAACTTCCTTGAATTTTCATGACAAAAAGTAGTTTTAGAAATTGGAACAAGTCTCCAAAGGAAGTCAGGCTCTTACCCTCCCACAGAAACTGGGAAATAGGGGCTTCTTCCTTGACTATTACATTTCAAAGAGATGGCCCCCAGGTCGTGAAAAACATGGGTCTTTAGAACTGGCAAGCAGCTTATAAAAGATTCACATCTCAGAGGCACAGAGAAAGAATTTACAATTACAAGGTTTTTAAAGTAAATGCTCTAATAAGATGACAGTGACCTTTATGGTTAGGCTGTCTAGTAAGGTGAACTGTTAGGTAAAGGCCTAACATATAAAAGCTTAACTGCTGTAACATACTTTCAAGAAAGTCGCTTTGAAGACAATTGGATCTCAGTTTACACCCTAGCTTCACCACTTAAAACTGTTGGTTTAAGCAAGTTAATTTATCAATCTTTTTTAATGAAAACTAAGTCTACGTTATGACTAATTTCTTTTTTGTTGTTGTTTTTTGAGACTGAGTCTCACTCTGTCACCCAGGCTGGAGTGCAGTGGTGTGATCTTGGCTCACTGCAACCTCTGCTTCCCAAGTTTAAACTATTCTCCTGCCTCAGCCTCTCGAAGAGCTGGGACTCCAGGCGCCCACCACCACACCCAGATTTTTGTATTTTTAGTAGAAACGGGGTTTCACCATGTTGACCAGGCTGGTATCAAACTCCTGACCTCAAGTGATCCACTCACCTTGGCCTCTCAATGTGCTGGGATTACAGGTGTGGGCCACTGCTCCTGGCCATTGTGCCTAATTTCTATAAACTACCTGTTGTTTGTTTTTCTCTCTAACAGGACCGTGCCCAAAATCTGAACGAGAGGCGAACCACCACCACCACTCTCACAGTGGATGTTCTGGATGGAGATGACTTAGGTCCAATGTTTCTTCCTTGTGTCCTTGTGCCAAAGACTCGTGATTGCCGTCCACTCACTTATCAAGCTGCCATACCTGAGTTGAGAACTCCGGTAAATATGCTCTTATCTTTCTCCCTTCGTTTGCATGTTTTAAAACCCAATGGGATCATGTTCAAGTATTTTGCAGACATATAATTTATAATAGCAAAACTCACTATATGCACTTTGAAAAATATTTACATCCAAAACTATTTTCAGGGAGTAGGCATACGTTTTTAACACAAAGAGTAATTATATAATTTATGAGGTAGAAAGTATGTTACAAAACAACAATCCAACATGGTTATTTTATTTTTATTTTTTACCAATAAATCACCAAGGAGTTCACTGGCCATTCTGAAAAATTCCAAATAACCACTGCAGCATTTTCTTAAATTCGTGTTTAAATATGCAGTAGTAAGTCACAGGACACACAGGTCAATAGGATACACATTTGGCCCAGTAGAATTCTGAAATGTTATTGAAGATTATGTTTGGCTGTTTGAAGGTAGGAGCTAACAAATACTGAATACAAATACTTACCTCTTAAAGTAAAGATACAGAAAGGTGAAGCATGAATACATATTTTCTACGCTTAATCCTATATTTTTGATAAATGCTAATGGAACTATAAACTTCTGTTGGTTTGGATTTCACACCTTGGACCTCCCTAGATGACTGATATACATACCTAAGAATAAGAATTTTAAGGCAAATGGATATCCTGCTAGGGCAAAAATATCAATTTCTCCCCTAAAAGGTGTATTTGTGTGTGCGTGTGTGTGTGTGTGTGTGTGTATACACATATTCTGTTTTAAAAATTCAATGGTCTAGGATTTAACCATTTAACCAATATTTTTGCTGTTTCCCTGGAAAGCAATCAGCTCTCTGAATTCCCAAAATGGCTCAAAGTGTTAGAATTTGTTGGAAGCTATTTGACTTTTTTTCCTCAAAGCACCTGAGAACTGCAGTTCTGAGGGTCCTCTATTTGAGATTTTGAGGAATAGAACGGGAATGCCTTCTAAATGTAAAGCCAAAGAGTGCTTATCCAATGTTATAATATTAATACATCTATTGGTTTTTCTCACAGTTCACTGGTCCAGTTAACTTGCATGAATAATAATAATAATAAAAAAACTGGAGAGAAAAATAAATAAATCTTATGTGCATTGGATAAAAAATATGTTTTTAGCCAAATTAGGTACTTTTGCAGACAAAAAAGCTAATCAGAACTTGACTAGACAAAATAGATGTAGATTCCCTAAAGTTATATGCCATTATGTTATTGTCAAATCCCAGCAAAAAAAAAAACCCACCAACTATTAACGATGGTGAACATAAAAATTTTCTTTGAAAGAACTGGTAAAAGGAATGACGACAAATACAATTTTTATAAGGCTGCACACCTACTGCCGTCTGCCCTTCAACAAAGCTGACAAAAGCAATGGGAAAAAGACTTCGTATTCAGTAAATGGCGCTGGGAGAACTAGCTAGCCATATGAAGATTGAAGCTGGACCCCCTCCTTACACCATATGCAAAAAGCAACTCAAGGTGGATTAAAGACTTAAATGTAAAACTCCAAACTAGAAGAAACCCTGGAGGACCACCTAGGCAATACCATTCAGGACAAAGGCACAGGCAAAGATTTTGTAACAAAGACAGCATAAGCAATTACAACAAAAGCAGAAATTGACAAATGGGATCTAAGTAAACTTAAGAGCTTCTGCACAGCTAAATAAACTATCAACAGAGTGAACAGACCACCTACAGAATGGGAGAAAATATTTGCAAAGTATGCATCTGACAGAGGTCTAATATCCAGCATCTATGGGGAATTTAAATTTATAATAATTAAATAAAAACATTAAAAAGTGGTTTTTTTGGACATGAACATTTTTCAAAAGAATACATACATGTGGCCAATAAAACAATGAAAAACAGTTAAACGTCACTAATCATTAGAGAAATGCAAATCAAAACCACACTGAGAAACCATCGCACAGTCAGTCAAAATGACTATTATTAAAAAGTCAAAAAATAACAAATGCTGGCAAGGTTGAAGAGAAAAGGGAACAGTTACACACTGTTGGTGGGAGTGTAAATTAGTTCAGCCACGTGGAAAGCAGTATGGCAATTTCTCAAAGAGCTAAAAGGAGAACTCTCATTTGACCCAGCAGTCCTATTATTGGGAATATACACAGAGGAATATAAATCATTCTGCCATAAAGACACATGCACATGAATGTTCATTGCAGCACTATTCACAATAGCAAAGACACGGAGTCAATCTAAATGTCCATGAATGACAGATTGGATAAAGAAAATGATGTACATGTACCACATGGAATATTATACGGCTATAAAAATAATGAGGTCATGTCTTTGCAGGAACATAGATGGAGTGGGAGGCTAATTTCCTTAGCAAACTAACACAGGAACAGAAAACCAAATACCACATATTCTCACATGTAAGTGGGAGCTGAATGATGAGAACTCATGAACAGAAGGAAGGGAACAACAGACACTGAGGTCTATCTGAGGTTGGAGGGTGGGAGGAGACAGAGGAGCAGAAAAGATGACTGTTGGGTACTGGGCTTACTCACTGGGTGATAAACTAATCTATACAACATGACATGAGTTCACCTGTGTAACAAACCTGCATATGGACCCCTGAACCTAAAATATAACTTTTTTTAAAAAAAGTTTCGTTTTTATTTATCTTTTAAAATATCTACAAGAGGGTGAGTTTGCTCCATGACTAATCATTGTTTGTGCATGAAATTTAAACATGTAAGGTTAAAGTATATTAAGCTGGCATTAACATTTTAAAAAAATTTCTACAAGAGGGTGGGCTTGCTCTATGACTAATCGTTTTTTGCACATGAAACTTAAACATGTGTAAGATTCAAGTATATTGGGCTGGTATTAAAATGTGCATTTTTTCATTCAAATATTTCTATTTGGAAAGACAATAGTGTAAAAATAATAATATGCTGAAACAGAATTTAATACTTGATAATAATCTTTTTCAATAATCCCCATACAAATATGGCATTCTGGATTGTGTGTGTGTGTGTGTGTGCACTTCCAGTTAAAATCCCTTTAAATATAAAAGAGGAAAAAATATATTTTTAGTATTAATTTATGTTTCTGAGTTAATATATTTAGCTAGTGTACAGTGGGACCCCAAGGGAAGGTATATATTGAGACCACAATAATCCAATTCAATGAGTCAGTCTGATGACTGTTTACTAGTAGTTAGTTCACTGAGGAAAGTAAAGGAAGATAGAAACTGCTGCTTGAAAAGCAGAGTGTACGAACTTAATTTTATTAAGGATCATTGAGCTTCCTTTCCTCTCCGGATTACAGACTGAACATCTCTCTCATTCCTATGCAGTTTAGTGCTAGAGACCAGACTATACTTTCAATTTGGGGTAATAACATAAGTGATCATAATGTCTAGAGTTTGTATAGAATGTTCTGTTTGTAATGAACTATGCTAAGCTCTGTACAAATATTAACTGATTGAATATGTTGAATATACACAAAAACATTTTTGGTAGGCAGTTTAAGTATATAGATATAGATATAATTTAGTAAGAGTAAATAAAATTAAGATACATTTGAGTCCTGGCTCTACACACAAAAATTGATAGTTTTTTTTTTCTGGCTCTGTCAGCCTGGGTGAAGTTGGAGATTCACTCTATAGGTGGGTGTAGTTGTAGAGAAATATTTATATCCAAAAGTATTTTCAGAGAGTATAGGCAAATTTTTGATCAGAATGCCTCACTCTCTCCCTTGTTGTACTATAATATTCATATTTTGAATATCAGTACTCAAAGGAGAACTAGTCTAAGGATAAAACTTATCCAGTCTTCGGATGACAAACCCAATCCAATATTAAATATTACATATCCTAACATAAGGAGAGCAATGAACTAATGGTGAAGAAATTAAGTCAAGAAATTTTTTATGCTCTGAATCCTTTGTAAAGTAGTATTTGGGCAAAGAGCACGAGGGATTCGGAGGATGGTGGATTCTTGCTGGTAAAAAAGGAGGTGTTTGAAGATCAATAAATAGTTTTGTGAACAATTATTCTTGTATTTTCTTTCAAAACCATGCTTTTTGAATTAAATATTATGGAAGAAATTCCAGAATGTTCAATATTGATCCTTTTATCATTTTTAACCGATTGAGCCGTTCCTTAACATACCTTGAAAAAATGAGAATTTAAGATTTACACATCTAAGTAATTATGGCAAATATTTACTTTTTAGTTTCATGTACAAAAATATAGATATATTTACTTGTAAACCTAGGCACTTGGTCAGATTATCAGTCACTGTATAACAGGCCACCAAAACTTAGTGGGTTCAAACTGCAATCATTTAATTTGCTCACTAAGCTGCAATTTTAGCAAGACTTGAGAAAACACCTTATCTTTGCTCCATGTAGCATCAACTGTGGCACTTTAACTGAGGGCTGGGTGCCACTTTCATGATGATTAACTTAGATGGCTACCAAATTGATTTTGGCTGTTGGCTGGTGCTCATCCAGGGCTGTAGACTAAGGCTTCATTTTCACCTCAGTTAAGCCTCTTATAGGCTGTTGGAGCTTCCTCACAGCAAGACAGTGGGTTGTCATAACAAGCTTCCCAAGGGAATTAGGCAGAAATTTTCATAAATTAGAATTTGCAGTGTCAGTTCTGCTGTAGTCAAATTTCTGCCAGTTTCAAGGGGTAGAAACATACTCCATCTCCCTTATAATGTGTCCAAGTCACATTATAAGAAGAACATATGGAAAAGAAAATATTATTGTGGCAATCTTTTGCAAATAAAATCACCCTTAGTACTGGCATCAGGTTTTTATGTACATTGTTATTTTGAATTCATTCTGGAACATTAGGTATAAAAACCGGAGTTAGTTTTTGAGCTTCACATTCAAATTACTGTGTTTATGTCTGTACTTTTATTCTTTTTGATTTTCTCTTTTTCTATTTTCCTTTATATATTCTGCTAAAATTTCATGAAATTTCAATAAGATCTTGCTCTCCAGAGTGAGATAACTAACC